CAAAAGTGAACCCAAAAGGGATTGGCCCAAGGCAAGGCCTGAAAGCTGCCATAAGACTAAAGCACCTTCTGCCAGGACCCATGGAAAAGGGTCAGAAATGGCCAGACAAATCTGGGAGGAAAAGAGCAAAATCAAAATCAACATAAACACTGCCATAGTCACCTCCCTACAGATGTATCTCACCCACATCTGCCTTAACCAGTCCAGGGTCAGGAAACAAGCACGGTTTCTTCATCACATGCTTGCTGCTCCATGTGGCTTCCTCAGGTCTCCTTCTTGTTCTCCATCCAGGTTCCTTCTCCTCTTCTCAGCTTGTCTCCTTTTTCTCTGCTCAATTCCACCCTCCTTCTGGGTGGGGCAAGGAACCTGGAACTTCCCCTTTTCCTAGGGACCACCCTGTTACAGTACCTTCCATGGTAAGGTAAGACATTTGGGATTAAACGTAGTAAGTCCTGCTTCTCTGACTCACACTATCCCTAGATGTAATAGAGGTTTGAGTAAATCCATAGTGGAACTTCCTGTAAGTGAAGGAAGTCCTAATCTTTAAGGAGTTTCTTCTCATTCACCAGGCCTCTGCCATGGGGTTAAGGTTGGCCTAAACTCCTGATGCTTCTCCTTTTTGCAGCCCCTTCTTGCTTTTCTTTCCATCTTACATATATGTACATATATATACACACACACATACATATATGTGTGTGTGTGTATGTATTTGTGTGTGTGCATGAGTGTGTGTATGTGTATAGGGTAACTTACAAAGGTACATATGGAACGAGGTAAAAAAAGAAATTGCCAGGGGAAACTTAGAAAGCAAGATATGATAGAAATCAGGTTAGTCTACAAGTGATATTCCATTATCTATCACCTATACCTAAATAGGTGAAGATGTACCACAAGTTTTAATCTGATTTCCAAGCAGCCAGTACAAACAGGATATACAGCCACTTGAACAATCCAGTGTCTATATGATTAAAACCAATGAGTAGCCAAGAACCCCTGTGGACCACCCCTCTGAAGTATAGTGTTGAAGTAAGGAATCATGGCATGTACTGAACAATGTCCTCAATAGTATTTCTCATTGTACCAAGGGTTTCTGTAGGGCATGACAGAAGTCTGTAGGGTTTGGAGAAAGCAGAAAAAGAGGAAAATATTCAATTCTAGTGTTGCTAAGCTTCTGCTGGTATTGGGCTGGGATATGTGAGCCTCTGCCTATAAATTCTTACATTTCAATAATCTGTGTTACAAACTGACAATAATCTGTGTTAGAGGTATGTGCTCAAAGCCACCCATGCTAAGGATGGCTAAACAGAGAGGGGATCCAAGTCTTTGATGACATCCTGAAGGCATAAGACCTATCTGCAGAATACTAGTTACTTGAGATAAAACAAATGCCTTCTTCAAGTGACTACCCGTAACTGCCTATTGTTAGCAGCCAAGCAAAGTTCCTGATACCCTCATGGCTTTAGCAACATGAAACACCATTATTTATGCGATACTTTGACATTATTCATTAAAGGTCCAATAATTATTCTGAATCAACTCCTAAATTAGAAATGTTAAACTCTCTCAGGGTGCTCTGGCTCAATAGTAAGCAGCTGCTATTATATATGAATTTGTGGAGAAATTTTTCCTTGGTTTCCTTCTCCTTTTTTAATTAAATTTTAAAAATATGTTCACTACATCATCCTTCATTTTTGTACAATATATTGTTTCCCTGTGAAATTCCCACCACCCCTTCCCTGTCCCTTGTGCTCTTCCCACCCGTGTCCTGTTCCTTTTCCTTCCTCCTCCTCTACAGAATGTCTCTAGTTGCCTGATGATTTTGATTTTCTACTTCATTATGGTTACTTTTTTTTTTCTGATTCCCTTTTTGTTTTTTTCTACATTCCTCCTATAACCGAGACCACTTGTTATTTTTCTATTTCCTTCTGACTTATTTCGCTGAGCATAATCCCTTCCAGCTCCATCCATGTTGCTGCGAAGGGCATGACTTTATCCTTGTATAGGTCTCCTTCTCTTTTTTGAAGAACAAACCTATGATGGAAAAATAAACATAGGTAGTAGATCCTAGTTCCATGTACAAGTTTGTGCAAACATAGTATCAGTAATAATAAATTTGTATTTCCGTAGGGTGAATTCTAAAACACAAACACTTTATTCATCCTATCTTACTAGCTGCCTCTTAGTATCAGGAAGGTTAGATTTGCTCAAGGATGAGAACCATCAACCAATAGAAATAGTGTTACAGGGCAGGGAGAGGGCACCCCTAAACCCCCAACTTGCACGCTCTAATTAGGTTCTGCCACCCGCTGCATAAAGACAAAACATATAAGACCTTTAATGGAAAGGAACTTTAACACAATTAGTGTGCAGTACATAAAAGACAAAGAATATAGTGTCTAAATCAGACGCCCAAAGTTACCCATCCCCTCGTGGGTAAAAATCCACCCAAAAAGGATTGGCCCAAAGCAAGGCCTGAAAACCTAACACAAGTCTAAAGCACCTTCCAGCAGGGACCAATAGAAAAGGGTCAGAAATGCAGACAAGCCTGGGAGGAAAAGAGCAAAATCAAAAATCAAGATAAATACTGCCATCGTGAACCTCCACACGGGTCTCTCACCCACATCTGTTTCAGCCATCCAGGACCAACAAACAAGAGCCCCTTCATCGCATGTCTCTCTGCTCCATGTGCCTCCCTCAGGTCTCCAGGCTCTCCATCCTACTTCCTTCCTTCTCAGTCCCCTCTTCAGAATCTTCTGTTTGCTCAGCTCTACCCTCTTGTGGGTGGGGCAGGGAACCTGGAAACTTCCCTTTACCTGAGGACCATCCTGTTACAATAGGACTAATTTTTTCTGACTTAAATTTTCATTTTATGTGCCAAAGTGGTCTTAGAAACTGTGTTGAGGAGTGCCTTCTGTGTACAAGAGAGAAGGGCAAGTGCCTCCGCCCCCCCCCCAAAAAAAAAATCACACACCAGAAACAGTGAAGCAGACAAGGAAGATTTCATTTAAGACTATTACACTAGGAGAGAGTCTGAACTCAACTCTGCTGAAACAAGAAGCAACAGAATTTTTAACCCCTGGGGTGGGCTAATAGAAAAGTGCTGGAGAACATGGGTGGGGAGAGGCCAAATAGAGGGGAGTTTTTCTGGGTTTGCTAATTGGAACTTCTTGAAGTAAGTCTTTTCCCAGGGAGTAGTATCTAGAGGTGCTGTCTTTCTGCAAAGGGATGGATGGCCCCAAGTTCCTTAAAAAGACATTCCCAATGCTGGGAGATGATTTACATCTCAAGACCTCAGAGAAAGAATTTACAAAGAAAGTTTTCTAAAGTAAATGCTCTAAGAAAAGGGAGGTAGGGTCTCTAACCAGGAAGAAATCTGTGTAAAGTTTAGTCAAGCTGAGGGAAGTTTTAGGGCAGGCTAGGCGAGCAAAGAAAGGTGGTGTCTACCCCTCACCCCCAACCTAGTTCCTTCTCCCCCAGGACCAAACATCCATTCTTAAGGATGAGATGATGCAGAGATGAGTCTGTGTGACTTCACTAAAGGGTAGAATTGGGGAGGGAGGAATATTGAACCCCACAGAAGGAACTTCCAGGTTCTGAATACCTGTGCAAAAAATTACCATCATAGAAAAGACTAATCTGTAAGCACTTGGCAGCCCGAGGCACAGAGGAAAATGGAAATCTCCTAGGCTGGCAATTCATCTTGCCTAAGGGCCTCACTTTGCTCAGAGGGGAGGCGACTGTGCTGACCTTAAAATTCAGGCCTGAGGAAGCAGGAGATGAAGGTATTTTATTTTCCCCGTATGGCTTTGAGGTTTTTCAAATAAAATTCTAAGAGATTCAGTACCTTCCTCTGCAACTTCTTCACAAGGTAGTGGAGTTTTAGAAAAGACAGAGGCCTGAGGGTGGGTCTCCAAAAGAGCAGTGCCCTGTTTCCCCTTTCAGCCCTTTAGAATTTTCTTCAACGTTCCCACTCCACTCCACCGCGATTATTTTTCTTTCCGTTCTCTAAGGCGAATCTCCAGGTCCTGCTCCCCATCTTTCCTGTTCCCCAATCCCTCAAAATGCCAAGCATCTCTCACTTTGGCCGCCCAGGCTTTCCCCGCTGGTAACAGGGTGGGGGGCGCAGGGTGGGGGGAGGAGGTGGGGGCTCCTTCGGCCACAAGGTGGCGCGCGCGGGTCTCCAAAGCAGCGCGCCAAGGCTTCTCGGTTAGCTCCCCCTTCCCGCCTCACCCGCGCTCCGCACGGAGCGAGCCGCGCCCCCAGCTTCCCCGGGCGGAACACGGGGAGCGCGCCTCGGGGGGCCCCCGAGGAGGTCCGGCAATAGCTGCGCTCGGCCCGCGCGGGAGGTGCGGCTGCTGGCACCCCAGTTCCAGGCTACTCCTTCTGCCAGTGTAGCCTTTACCTCCCCCCCCGTCCCCCACCCTGCCCCTCCCTATCTGCAAAGCCGAGGCTCCCCGGGACAGCCCGGCGGAAGGCGGCGGAGGCGGCAGAAGCCACGCAGCAGCTGCAACAGCGGCGGCGGCCGGACTAGAGCCGCCCCGAGGCGTTGCGGAGCCCCAGCGCCCCTGCACCAGAGGAGAGAAGAGGGGGGCACCAGGGCCGCCTGGGGGAGGGGGAGGAAAGTGCGCTGCCGTGGGAGTGCGCGTCTACGGCGCGGTGTGGGGCGAAGCTTTCGAATCCTGGCGGAGGAGAGGGCAGGGCAGCGGGGTGTGGCCCCCTGACGCCCCCGCCGCCCTGAGCTTCTCCGCGGCGGCGCCGGCTGCGGGCGCCCCTCAGCATGGATTCGCGCAGAGTTGGGACGCG